AGTTTCTCATCTCTTGGCTTATAATGGATTTAATGTTGTTTTTTATTTGTGACTGGAAATTAATTAATTAATTAATTAATTAATTAAGTTTGAGTTGAGCCGAGCTCACCACACCTCTTGAGATGTCACGGAGTTGATTTCCACCGGAAACAAAATAGATGTAGGAAAACAGTTAAAAACAGTTAAAAACGGTAAAAACGGACGTCGAGCAGACGTGATTTTTCTACTCTGAGTGCAGCAGGTGCGGTCTGAGCTTTATTTTTATTTATTTATTTTTTTGCCTGAAGGAAAGACATCTGTGAGCCTGTCAGCTCCAGTCAACCAAAAAGGCAGAAATGTTTCCCCTGAATCTGAGCGATGACCCGATGATGTTTGTGTTAAACTCTCACCGAGAAGGTCCCAAGATGAAATCAGAGGAAACTGTCAGAACTTTTGTCATCTGGGCAAACACACGTTCCTTTTAGGATGCATGATTTAGATTTTAAATGGAGTAATTAAAAATCCTACCAGAATTATCATAAAATTATATGTTTAGTTATTTATTGCTTCTAACCTCTCACTTGCTCCAAACGAAAATAAATTAGAGGTTCGGACTAAACTCTTTTTTATTTTTTTGGGTGAATGCAAAGTAGCTGATTGTTATTTTCCTTGCTATTTTCTTAGTCAAATAATAAAAAACAAGCAAGAATACACGTTTGAACCCTCGGTGATTTGGTGTGTCACCACAGAGAAAGGTACCGCTGTGGTGTGGTGGTTTTATTAAACTGTTAATGTGAAACTTAGGTGGAACTGCTGTAAGTTGGCAGTGGTCACAACAGTCTGCTCTTCTTTCTTATACGACTGCATTTCATGCAACCAAAGGCGCTGCAGCACCAGGAGGACACATTTAAAGCAGTGACAACAGTTTCATTATACAGCTAAATAACAAAAGAAGAGCAATAAGAGACAAACTGTTTCATTTAGATATTAAAAATGTACACAAAGTCTTCAGTTCTGTTTATTTACCAAACAGTTTTGTTAAGTATTTTCCACATAGTTCATGTTTATAAGCTGTAAAGTCAACAGATGCACAAAAGAAGCATAAATCTGTAGTTTTTAGTAAATCTGAGCTGATGATGTGGACCGACCCGTGTCCATCTGCAGACAGTCGCTCTGAAAGCTGGAGAGGCCTCGGGCTACAGGAAGTCACAGGTGTGATGGAGGCGGGTAGTCATAATACACACACCGCCCCGCCAACACTTATTACCACTGATGTGTGTGTTTTGGTATACTTTAGTAAAACTGTAGTGCAGCTTTTTGTTTCACCTCTAAAATCAATCCATGGCTTAAAGGATTGCCTGCTCCTCCTTAAATATTTATTTCCCAGCAATCTTCTGCAAAATTTGTGATTGTCGCTTGCATTTTTATTTTTGAGCATCATAAATATTGAAGCATGCTGTATGACTCAAGCGCTGTGCATTGAGGGCAGGAAACAACCGAGACGGCGTGATTGAACTTTGTAATTTCCAAAAGAAGATGAGCATATCCGTTGAGAACCTCACACACGTCGTTTTAGATTATTCTCATATAATCCCAGAGTCTCCCCCGGTGATGCACGGAGCCTGCAGGACTGGTGTCACACCTACCTGGAGTCTCTGCTTCCGTTGCCTGCTAAAAATACACAAAGGTTCATCGTACCCACTACTGCACTTAACCTGAGTGTCTCCATCACTGCAGCATTTTAATATTTATCACCAGGAGTTTGCTATTTGGAATGAATAATAATAACCCTGCTTCCTGATGCTCTGAGAAGTCGCGTGTTTCAGATTTAAACTAAAAACATGATTAGTTTTTTGTAGTAGACACAGAGTTTGTGTGGATGCCTTTAACACGGAGATTAATAATCAGAAAGAAGCCCCTTCCAGGGCTGACTGACTTCTCTCTGTTGCCTCTCAGCCTGCTTGTTTCACGTTGTTCTGAACTTATAAATGTCAAAGTCTCACATGGCTTTGCTGCACAGCTGACAGGAAACTGCTTCTTATTTAATCAGGTTTTATTTTTCCAGGATGTCACGCTGAACAAATCCTTAAATGACTTTAAGAGCTGACAAAAATCACAAACTGTGTTAGTTTCTCTACACTTCTGTGAGAACTTTATAAATCAACTCATTTATAACATTAAATTGGAACATAATACTGGTAAAAATTCTATTAACACCTGTATGTGTATATATATATATATATATATATATATATATATATATATATATATATATATATATATACATATATATATATATATATATATATATATATATATATATGGATGCTGTTGATCTAAAATTGGCTCATGAGCAGAAATAAATGTTTGAATAATAAATAATAGACACTTTGAGGAACCCCATAATACTACTGCCGACAAATTAAATAACTATTTGTGCTCTATCTTCATGTTTTATGAAATATTATACGAGGAAAAATTAGTTGGTTGTTGTTTTTGTCTCTTGTACACACACACACACACACACACACAATCAAGAGTCAAAATTCGAAGCCTCAGGGAGGACGCTATTCCTCGGCCTGTTGTCCAAGCTGCTCAGTCTTCTGCCTGAAGGAAGGAGGGTGAATACATCTCGACAGGTCACTCTGTCCTTGTTTAGGTTCTGCATATTTTAACATGAATGTCCTCTAGAGAAGCATTACTGCCTTTGAGCAGGTCTGAGCAGGCTTTGCGTTTTGTCAGACTCAGATGAGTTTTGTTATGGAAGAAGTCAGGATGCTGTCCACCACAACCCTAACACCCAGATTTTTGGTCACAAAAAGTCTGAAATCCTTTTGAGCATCCTTGAATTTTGTAGAGCATTTTACTGGTCTTGAGATATCAACACAGCACACCTGAAGAAAAGAAGATTAGAGCATTTGTTTGTGTAGAAATGGGTCCTTGAGGAGACTCTAAAGAGTGTCAGCTAGGTCTGAAGCCGAAGGCTTTGCAGGAAACACAGACAAAACTTCACCAGGACAGCAGTAGGTAGCGCGGGCTGTCCAGTAAACGGAAGGTTGCAGGTTCGATCCTGGCTCTGACCAGAGAATGCTGCTGTTGTGTCCTTGGGCAAGACACTTAACCCACCTGGCCTGCTTGCGGTTGTCAGAGGGACCGTTGGCGCCAGCGTTCGGCAGGCCTCATGTCCGTCAATGTGCCCCAGGGCAGCTGTGGCTACATTGTAGCTCATCATCCCCAGCGTGTGAATGGGTGAATGACTGATTGTGGTGTGAAGCGCCTTGGGGGGTTGTAAGAAGGCACTACAAATACAGGCCATTTACCATTTAGAGGAGATCATTCATTACCATACGCATCACATACTCCTGACTGATGAAACCTTACCTCATAGCTAACACACGACCTTTTACCTTTAGAAAGTCTCTAAAGGGACAGAAGGAACACAGGAAAGAAATATTCTGTTCCTAGTTGTGTTTTATCTTGCAAACATGGAAAACTGGGACTGGACATGACTTGATGCCTCTGTAGAAAACAACCGTGTCCCTGCTAGAAACCCGCCCACCCTATCAGCTCTCTGGGGCATCTCTGCCTTTGCCCTTTCCTCCTTTGAGCCAAAACCAGACATCCGCCACAGGTGGTCCGTGTACTTTATTGGTTCTGACACACATGTTTTGCCTTAAGAGCTCAGAGAGACAATAAAACATTCATTAGAGCAGTGAAATGAGAGCAGATGGAAAAAAATGGGACAACAATACGTAACCTTGTGGCGGCTCTAAAGTTCTCTGACCTATCACGTCTCTTCCTTGCAGCCGTATTGTGTGTTTTTGTGTTGTTTCACAGCCTCGGAGCTGAAACAGCACAAAAAGCCATCTAATCTTAACCACTGGCCCATTGAAGCACAAACCTAGAAGTTTCGACTAAAGCATCATTTACTCTTTCTTTTCTCAGCCCCTGGATGGAACTGGACGCGCCTTTTGACTCTAGCACGGCATCACCGAGGATTTGCCCACATGTAAATTATTCTGACTAACAAATAGCACCAAGAATGTTTTTGTTTACTTGCAAATGAGTTTTTTCTCCACCTTTCTTGAGCCGAAACGTCCTCACAACCAAACTCTTGTTACAAGCTGGCAGCCGCTAGAAAAAATCTCCTTTATTCAGATTGTAGCATCTTTATCCCACAAACACAGAAAAGCTGTTTAAAGGTTCTGAAGTTTGACTCAGTGGCAGGAATCAGGCACAAAAAACTTCCAAATAGGATTTTTATTTAATTAAACCAAAGAAAAGAGGCGAGACAGAAATATTTAGGTTTTAGGTTGGAGTTCTTCCTACATGATGTTGGTCCAATTTGCTACATTGCAAATTCAAAAGTAGACAAAAGGTGCCGGGAATCTCGGACAGGGTGAGCGGTTGCATGTTGATGAGCAAAGTTCTGATAAACAAACAAAATAAAAACAGACTTTGAAATAAGATGAGATCAATGATTTGAATATCATTTAGATTATTTGTTGACTGTATTAGTTCAAAGCAGTTCATTTGTTAAAGAGCAAGTCACCCCCAAATCAACTTTTTTTTCTGTTAAACTATATACATGCGTGTCTAAATGTGCTGCAGACACCTGTAGTAAACAGTTTTGGCACTTTAGTGCATTTTAGTTAAAATTTTAATTTTCTGCTTAAAACTGTCAGTGTTGTGCCGTTGTCAGGTAAAAACTCTGCACTGCATTTGAATTTAAATCTGCCATCGCTATTGGCTAAGAGGTACCCTAGAACGTTAGCTGGTACCATATGATGTCACAATGTTGTTGTGAGACTGTGTGTGTGTGTGTGTGTTTGTTAGCGGCTCCGCCCTCTCGGTTTGCCAGGCAACGGCATTTGATGCATTTTTCAAACAGGAAGTGGGAGTTGAGTAATACTCTGGTAGAGGGTGACTTGCTCTTTAACAGTGTTTTCCCCTAAATGTGTTCATATTTATGCCAACAGTGTTGCCAGGAGTAACAAGAAACAACTTGTGGACAAATCCCATTTTAACCACAACAAACATTTTATTTTATAACACCATATTTCAGTCTCACATGGTTTAACTTACATCGGTCTGAGAAAAATCAGGCTGCATTCTGATTAATATAAAACTTGCCACCTGGTCCACTGATCCTTCACTTTAAATAGTTTTACTCTAAATAATTAGTTTTCTCAGATGTGTACTTTTTCACCAGAGTACATCAGTAATCCGGAGTAATCCTGATCAGACTGCTAAGAGGACTATTTGTTCTCGTTGCATTCACACCTGGACTCCGAACCGTCCCTTTGTGGTCCCAACTCCAAACTGCATGCAACAGTGTGAACAAGACCATGCGTTTCATTTGGACAGCTGCTTCCCCATCTCCTCTCTGTAACATCACCTTTGTTCCCATCAGGAGGAAACTGATCTTCTCATGAATAAAGTGAATAACAACTTTAAGTGATTCAAAACCACGGAGCCACAGAATAACTGGATGCAGTCCTCAGGTCTTCTCTCCGTGAGGGAGTGACTGTTCTCTCTGAAAGAGCAGGGTCACACCTTTCCTGAAGCGGCTGTCCCTGACGCTGTAGATAATCACATTACAGCAACTGTTTCCCGTCAGAATCCAGAAGGCGAAAAAGGAAAAGTTACACCAGGTGTATCCCACCACGTTCCCCAGCACGAACACGGCAATGGGAGAGAAGGACGCCGTGAAGGCAAACGTCAGTATGCCAATTGTCTTTGCAGCCTTGATGTCTGAGAAGGAGGGTCTGTAAGAGCATCCTCCCCCGCCTCCCCCTCCATCACTCAGACTCCCCTCTGAGAGCAGCTTGCGTTTCCTGGTGTACCTTCGGATGCTGGTGAAAGACACAATGTTCACTGCTAATGTGCCACCCAGAAGTGTGAAGTCGAATGCTGGGAAAAGCAGCAGGATGTTGGCATCATGTGGAAGCCGGCCTCCAAACAGCAGAGGGGTGTAATTGCACATGCGGCTGCACTCGTTGTACTCTAACGTGAAGTTACTGCTGAAGATGAGCGGAGCCAGAGCCAGCAGGAAGCTGGCTGCCCAGGACAGCAGGATGAGGAACAGCGTTCGTCTCCTTGTCACCAGCGCGTCCTTGTGGAGCGGCCACAGGATAGCCACGCTGCGCTCCAAGGTCATCAGGAAGATGGTGCTGATGGAGACAAAAGTGCATCCACCAAAGACGGGACCAATCAGCATGCAGGGCTGCCAGGGGCTAGGCAGCTCACCTTGAGAGGTGGAGGAGGCGGCGCTGCCCTGGTACCACACTGGGGGCGAGCTGGTCACCATCAGAGAGATTTCTGTGTAGACAGAGAAGGGAACCACGACAACGCCAACCATCATGTCTGCTATGGCCAGAGAGACTGTCAGAGAGGACGAGGAGGGAAACGTGCATTTTAACACAACTTCACTTCAGTTCACCTTTGTTGTCATTGCACCCTTCACAATAAAATATAATGTAAGTGAATAATAATTAGAAAATAATGCTAATATTATAAAGGTAATAAAAATATAAGATACTTTTTTGTAGAATTTTTCATGTTTTCTTTAGTAAAAACAATTATTTGAAGATGCTAAAGCGGTTAAAGATGCTAAAGAGGTTGAAGATGCTAAAGCAGTTAAAGATGCTAAAGCGGTTGAGGATACAAAAGCGGTTAAAGATGCTAAAGAGGTTGAAGATGCTAAAGCAATTAAAGATGCTAAAGCGATTAAAGGTGTTAAAGCAATTAAAGATGCTAAAGCGGTTAAAGATGCTAAAGCAATTAAAGATGCTAAAGCAGTTAGAGGTTGAAGATGCTAAAGCAATTAAAGATGCTAAAGCAATTAAAGATGCTAAAGCGATTAAAGGTGTTAAAGCAATTAAAGATGCTAAAGCGGTTAAAGATGCTAAAGCAATTAAAGATGCTAAAGCAGTTAGAGGTTGAAGGTGCTAAAGCAATTAAAGATGCTAAAGCGATTAAAGATGCTAAAGCAATTAAAGATGCTAAAGCGGTTAAAGATGTTAAAGCAATTAAAGATGCTAAAGCGGTTAAAGATGCTAAAGCGGTTGAAGATGCTAAAGTGATAAAAGATGCTAAAGCGGTTGAAGATGCTAAAGCGATTAAAGATGCTAAAGCGGTTGAAGATGCTAAAGCAGTCAAAGATGCTAAAGCGGTTGAAGATGCTAAAGCAGTTAAAGATGCTAAAGCGGTTGAAGATGCTAAAGCAGTTAAAGATGCTAGGGGCTCAAATTGCTGCCGTTAGCCAAAACTAAAAGACTATCATTGTATTGTTCCACTTTCAGCATCCAAATGCTTTAAAAACATTTTAAACAGGTTTAGAATCTTACCCAAATACTCAAAAAATCATAAATTTGACTTTTGAAATGCATTTCAACCAAAATAATCAGGTTAGTTATTCCAAAGAAATCTGTAGTTGTTCATGTCTGTCACTGGGAATAATTCAGAGGATTTGACTTTTTTTTTAATTCAATAATTTGACACTAAACAAATGTGGTGCTATAAAAAGAATCTGCACTATTACTACGCTTTGGACTATAAAGTAACAAATGTACCTTTCAAGTATCCCTGTGGAGTTCTGGACTGTCTTGTTTGCACAAACACTGTAAGAGTGACCACGTTTCCCACCACGATGGCAAACGCCAGGCTGACCATGAACGCCACAGCGAGGGTGCGATTGATGACCCCGCAGCAACAGAGGGTGCAGAGCGGTGGGAGAGACCGACCCTGCCCGAGGTCTGCCTGAGCGGCTGCCGTCAGATTAAACGCTGAGGTCGCCGGCAGAGCTGCTGTCCCTGAGATGTTGGCAGTCATGGCCCAGACGGGTTAAGATCCTTCAGATGTCCCTGTGAGCGGGTCGTTCAGGAAACCATGTTCTGGACTGGGAAATGATCCTAGAAGAAAAATGTTAGGAGTTAAAAAATCTTTTTTATATAAAAGTTTCCTCTAATCTACATATTTAGATTTTCAGTCACAATTTATATTTAGTTTAGTGAAACCCCTTTGGGACTAAATATAACTTAGTTCAGAAGTTCAGAACCAAATGTTGTTCTCGGCTGACAACTAAGTGCGCAAATATCTAAGTCATCTGTGCTATTTGCTGTCTGGGAGAATGAAGGTGTACAAGTCCAAGAAAGTAAGGATAACAGGAGTGGACATAAATGGACCAAAGCTAAACCAGCAGTGTTCATGAGGTGGTGCAAGAGAGAATGTCCCAAGACAAAATCTGATTTAAAACTCAACAATGCTAATTTACGGGTTGGTCAACTTTAAATAATTAATCGTTTGGTTCTGGTTGAAAGATTTTTTTTCTTTCACAAAAGTTGAATGCCTTCTTCAGGTCAGGGATGAGTGTAAGTATCTCGGGCTCTTGTTCACGAGTGAGGGAAAGCTGAAGCATGAGGTGAATAAGTGGATTAGTGCTGCATCTGCAGTGATGCTGGCGTTTTACTGGTCTGTCGTGGTGAAGAGAGAGCTGAGCCAAACTGAGAAGCTCTCGATTTACTGGTCGATCTACGTTCCTACCCTCACCTATGGTCATGAGCTATGGGTAGTGACCAAGAGAACGAGATCACGGATACAAGCGGCCAAAATTAGCTTTCTTCTTACCGACGCTGGGCTCCCCCTTAGAGATAGGGTGAGAAGCTCGGTCATCCGGGAGGGGCTCGGAGTAGACCCGCTTCTCCTCCACATCGACAGGAGCCAGTTGAGGTGGCTCGGGCATCTGGTCAAGATGCCTCCTGGACGCCTCCCTCGGGAGGTTTTCCGGGCACGTCCAACCGGGAAGAGGCCTAAAGGAAGACCCAGGACATGCTGGAGGGCAGTGGCGGCTGGCGAGTAGAGGGCGATAGGGCGCCGCCCTCCCAGTTTCCCCAGTGTTTTTAATTTTTATTTAAAAAAATAAATAAATAAAATTAACAATAATCACATATTCTAAGTTAATTGTGTGTTTTGTAACAAAAATAAATCATATATATATATTTCTATATTGGTCTCTGCCGGTCTCTGCCGAGCGGTGGAGGCTGTGGGCTGTGTTTCAATCGCCCAAACGGGACGAGACCAGTCGTCCAATTGCTGACAAGAAAATCAAAGGCTAGGAATGGGAATGTATCCAATCAGCGTCGACGTTGTTTCAGAAGCTTGATGGGCGATAGAGCTACCGCCAAAGGCTTTCGTTAGTGCTCGGTAGAACTCGGATATTCTCGACTCCAGCACGTTTTTGGTCGTGACTCGTGACGGTCGTGACGCAGACGTAATAGACATGGACACCAGTGGGCCTACAACCAGCAGCAGCATGGATCCTGGATCTCATCAGCCACTGAATTCAGTTCGGTCTCTTCTCCAGTATCCGTTCGAGAGGAGAACTATGGTGGAAAAACTTAATGTCAAAGAGCTTGGACCAGATCAGCCCGACGTAAAGATAAGCCAGCAGGAGAAGGAGAGAGGTAAACTGTACTCACGAGGCTTCTGGGAAGGCTTGGCTAGCTGGATGCAATCACGCTAATGCGTTATTTTGCTTTCCAAACGACTGTGACAGATGAGGCATGGATTGAGTCAGGAGTTACGGACATGAAACATTTTTCTGAGAAGGTGAAGAAACATGAGTTATCCCGGGCGCACATGGACAACACGGTGAAGCTAGCTATGCTAGGCAGAGCTAACATTGCCATGCAGCTAGAGACGAGGGACGCAGGCTTGCAGTGAATAAACACAATGAAGAAGTGGATCAGAACCGGCACATTTTGTCCAAGAGAGAGATGTCAACACAGTGTATGAGCACAAGGATGACCTCCTCAGATTTTTCCAGATGATCAGAGACTCGGATGACTTTGATCCAGTCACTGAGAGAGAGGCAGGAGGCTTTGTGAGAATGCTGGAGGAAGAAGATTTCGGCTTTCTGCTGCCATTGTGTCACAAGATCATGCCACATGTGGACATGCTGTTCAACCAGCTGCAGAAGAGGAACATTGACTCTGTCTACATCACAGGGGTCAGAGCTTCACCAACAGCATGCAAAAGATCAGGTACATACTTGTTTATTTAATATTATTGTGATGAAATTCTCCAGTATGTTAGTTTCACAAACAGTAATGTGGATGTGGACCATATATGGTCATGTTATTTTATGTGCAATTTAATGCAGTATTTTTCAACCTTGGTCTGCAAGGCAGCGTGCCAATAGTCAGACACACGTGGATTAATCCCTTTGTCCAATAATGTAAGACAGGAAATAAAAGAGCTGTGCTTAATTCAGGAAATAGTGAAGTTGTGCACAAAGCTCAGAAAGCACAAGTTTGTTTAAAAAAAAATAGCACAGCCCCACCAAAAATATTTTTCACCAGCCGCCACTGCTGGAGGGACTATGTCTCTCACCTGGCCATGGAACGCCTTAGGATTCCCCCGGAGGAGCTGGCCCAAGTGGCTGAGGAAAGGGAAGTCTGGGCCTCTCTGCTTAGGCTGCTGTCCCCGCAACCCCACCCCGGATCAGCGAAGGAAGACGGACGGATGGACAATATTTACTCCACCTTTGATCTACGACTATAGCCTCTGTCAGTGCTCCCCAGGGCAGCTGGGGCTACAGTCACCATCAGGGTGTGAATGTGTGTGTGAATGGGTGAATGACTGATTGTGCTGTAAAGCACCTTGGGGGATTCCAGGACTCTAAAAGGCACTGTATCAAATACAGGCCATTTCCAAACTTCATGTCATCAAAATCTTCTATTTATTAGTTAATTTATTATTGTTTTTTTTTATTATAAAAGCAAAAAAAGGAGAAATGTTGTTTAAAAAGACACAAAATCAGCTGACTTCTGAAAGTGGAGGCACTCCAGACCGGACCGGGGAGGCAGTGGATTCAGGTAAATAATGATAAACCCACTGAGACGAACACGTTCTAGTCGTGAGTAATGTACCGGAGCTGTCGCCACCATAAGCAGATGATAAAATCTTCATTGCTGAAGCTTTAGGACGTGTCGGAGCGAGCACTCTTTACCGTTGTAACGGCTTGTTTCTGTGGACTCTGCTTTGGCGCCCACTCTCATTAGTCGTGGTGTTAAATGTGCACATGAACAGGGTTCTGTCGCTGCCTCAGGTGAGATTACTGAGAAACTGCCCAGTGACTTCCTGATTGCCTGACTGATCGATCCCCCTTTCTGTTGCCTCTGAGCTGTGCTTGATTTGCTTTTCATCACAGAAGCATTCAGGGAAGACAGCGTGAAATCCTCCGTCTTTCAGAAAGGATTTATTTCCTTGTCCTTCGGTCAAAGATGCTGATGCTTCAGAGCCTTTTAGTTAAGCTCACAAGTGAAGATGATTTGTTTGTTGGTGAGTTGGCTGTGCTTGTGTGCCAGCTGGTGGTGGCGTTAGTGTTACTCATGTTTTCAACAGTAAACGCTGCCTACTCAGTTTAAAATTCACACTCTTGACCTCATTCATCTGCATGACAATCCATCCTGGGTGAGCAAAAACGTTTTCAGAGCTCCGCTAATTTATTAGAGAGAATCAGTTAATAGATTTATAAAATATCTGATTTGCATATTCAGACTCTGCTCTTAGAAGTTGATTAAAACAAACGCCGCCTCTGCTCTGTGGTAACAGTTTAGGCTCTACCAGGCAGTCAGTTCAAAGGGATCCTCAGGTGTCTTTAAAGACTCGGCCACTCCGAGTCTTTTAGTTTCTCCGTTTCATCAAAGGTTTTTTTTTGAGGGGTCTCCTGTGTGAACGTACTTTAGAGGTGATTTACTCTAAGTCATCTAGTTGAGATGATCTTCTGGGCTCGGTTCCATAAAGAATTTCCCAGAAGTTTTGTTTCCTTTTGCTCTGAAAACGAAAAATCCTGACAGAATATTTTTACGACTTTTTGACAGTAGAAACGTGGATGAGGCTCAAGTGGAATTAGCTCATGTGGTTGATTTAATCTTTGCTACTTCAGATAGGATTAAAAGTGTTCATGTGACCTTTAACAAAGGCCCAGTTGGCTGTTTGCTTCTCAGTGATTAATGGTTTTGTTTTGCCAGCATAAGACTCTTTGTGTTGGAGAGCTGTAATGATTGTTCTCTCTGTTTTAAAATCATATATTTTGTGGTTAAAAGCAACATAATTCTTCACCAATTTACTCCCCCCTCAGAAGATATGTGGAATGTGCCGTCGCTATGGTAACTCAACTATGTCTCCTTTCCCAGCCTGGGCGGGACTGCGGGAAGGCCGTTTAAACGTTCCAGGGTCACTGCAACCCTCCAACCCTCAATGCTCCTCCCCCTATCCACACTGAGGTGACATGCGCTGCTTATCGTGGCTGCAGGAACTGAAGTAGGGATAGTCCAACCCACCACCTCACCTAGTGGACACTTATGTTGTGTTGTCTGAAGTCTGTCGCATTTCTGTTTGAGGTGTTTTTTTGCAGAGCAAAGCTGCCCTCCCAGTGGAGGGTAACTCTGAAGAGCCTTTTTTCCCTCCACCTGAACCAATCCTCATGTAACCCTCTTAGCTCCATTAAGGTAGCGCGACTCAGGGTTGCGAATGACCACAGTCACCAATTCTTTTCATGTGTCTTGCCCATGTATGTCTGATCTCTGAATTGTGTGTACTGAAACTCTAATTTCCCTCTGGGATTAATAAAGTATCTTTGATTTGATTGATTTGATTGAACCAGGAAACAAACCATTTATGATTGACAAACTGAAAAAGCTAAAGGTAAAGAGCTCCTCCTATGGGACACCTACCCACTCCTCAGAACTGTTAAGTATTGTATTTGGCCAGTAGAGGGCTGCAGAGTGGTTTCAAATAGGGCACCGTTTCAAGTTCCTTAAGCCTAATTTATACTTCTCCATCTGTGTTGGGACGGAGACATGCAACGCCATCGTCCGTCCTTGTGAAGGCTCTCCAGAAGGCTCGCAAGGATGGACAGAGTTGAGCCCACTTTTCTAAACAAAGAGACAGAGAACGCAAGCTTGTGATTGGTCAGGACGCCGCTTTCATCGACAGCATCGCCATTGCGCTCTCAAAAACGTAAAGAGAACCAAAGACATTTAGCAGCAGACACAGAGCAGTTTGAAGAATACCTCGCGGAAAACTCTATATAAATGAACGTTTTATTTACCCGTTACTGGAGGAGTAAAAAAGATACGTAGCAGGTGTTTTATTCGTGGACGGAAATTATGGGAAACGTGGGTTCAGAGGTGGCGAGCACTTGAAGAGGTGAAGGAGAATGAGAGACAAATTTGTCCATGTTAAAAAGACAACACAATGGTACGTGCACTATCTTGGATACCACAGAACAGCGCTACGACCTCTGTTGTACTGACTGGGAATTGCTTCGCAACGCTCCCCAGGAGACGGAGACGTCCGAAAACCAAACGTCTCTGTCAGTGCGTGCGTCTCTCCTTCGTGGAGCTGACAGAGAAGTATAAATCAGGCTTAACTCAACAATCACTGAGATCAATGTTAAAGCGCTAGCTTAAAGTGTAACAAACAATCAGTTTTACTTTAAATGAGTTATACTAGCCATTAGCTCATCAATCTTTAAGAATATATTGTTTCTCCAAACGGAGGCTGTTCAGAGCATTAATAAAACCTCGGTTGCTTATGGGATTTTTCATCATCTTGAGTAATAAATGAACCAAATATGTTAAATTTCTGATTCTGAAGTTTTTCCTGCATGTTTTCAGGCTTTTTTGTTGTTTCTGAGAACAAAAAATAAATAATTAAACGTTGACTTTTATGTTTACTCACATTTTTTAGTTTATTTTTTCATTCGGGGTTTGCGTGCATATAACAAAAATAATAATTCAAAATGTAACTAGAAGCTTTTTACTTGATAGGCTCAAAACAAGACTGAACTTATGGTTTTTCACATTTATATTTTATTATCTTGCTGGATGAAATAAGATTTAGTGAAAATCCTGCCGTCTTTGTGTTGAATAAACTCTCATATTTGCTTCATGGTCATGTCCTTTTGCAAACACTCAGGCACAGCAACAATGGCAGACTCTCAGATGCGATCAAGGCCGAGCTTTAGAAGAGCTGATTTTAAATATTAACACTGTGAAAGAATCTCCTGAGCATCTGAAACGCTGGAGGTGGGCGGGATGGAGGGGGGCTGTTGGTGCCGTTTGACGTCAAACGTAGTTCAGCCTTTGACTGTGATTCAGTCGTCTATGAATGCCTTTTATCAATGAATCACACAGCTCAGAGATGTCAAGACTGTCATGAAGTTCACACTTTAAATATTATTATATATTGTATTGTTTATGTCGATTACATTTCCGACAGCTTTAGGCAACAGTTTAGAATGAATGACTACCAAATCAAAAAGATGATGAAATATTTGTAGAGGATAGACGGTGAGCCTCATTTAGGGGATTTTTGCTCTTACCATGAGTGAAGACGACAGGTGGGAGTCTACCCTGCAGCGACACCTCAGGCACGGTGACAAAAGGAGATAACTCACACACACACACCCACGATTTTTAGAGATAAACAGGGTATCCGCGGGTCCTTAAAAAGTCTTAAATTTACTTTTCCAAATTTAAAGCCTTGAAAATCCTTAAAAATGACAAATAATCCTTAAATACAGTTTCCAAAGGTCTTAAATTACCAAAGACCCAATAAACTAGATTATTTTATTTCTATGACTTTTTCGTGAATTTCTAGTTAGTGTTCAGCATTTTTTGTGTATGATGTTGGCGTAAGCGGAACCGTACACATTCAGTTGGTTTTCAAAGGGGGCTATTTTTAGATGAGCACATTAGCTGGTTAAGCGAGTGGGAGCTTGCGCCATGGGGAAGTGCAAGTTTAATGGTAACTAGATGGCTAATCCCACGTTCATGACGTGGTTAACACCGGTTCCAGGCAATAGCTGGAAATTATAGCTTAAATTTAATTTTAAAAATTGCTTAAATTTGGTCAAAGTGGCCTTAAAAAAGGTCTTAAAAGGTCTTAAATTTGGCTCCCTTAAACCTGCAGGTACCCTGGATAAAATCTCAACTTATTTACAGTCTCTGCACAGGCTGAGAGAGATAACTGTGATTTGAGTGAGCAGCAAATGAGATGTCACATTAATTAATTAATAATGTATTTATTTATTTATTATTTATTTATGTCACAACATTGGGTGCATTCCTAAAGTTGTACAACTTTAATTAGAAGCAGCAACTTTTTCAACTTTATGCTCTTTCATCATCACTCACTGCATATGTGATGCTGTTTCTTGTAATGTCTGACGATGATGAAAGTACACTAAATCTGTTTAATAACTGAACAATTATGTGGACCACAAGACCCAAACCTGACTCAACATGAGGTGAATTTCTAATTTTGTGTGTCAGTTTTTGCTCAAATAAGAGTGAATTAACAGTAGTATGTGCACAGGCGACACTCTCAGACTGTACGATTTCCTGTTGTTTCTCTGTTAGGGAGTGGCTGTGGTTGTTCATGAGTGTAGAGAATCTCCTCTGGCAGGACTCTGTCCCAGAGTGACTGTCTCAGGCCTTTAGAGGAGGACCGCCATGACCCGGTCAGGGCTCTCAGGCCAGGTGGCCCGACACTCACAGGGGTGGTGTGCAGTAACGACAGCACCGGACGGGTCAACGCTGAGCTGCCTGAAGCTTCAGGCTGCTGCGGCACGCAGGCAGAATTTCAGCTTTCTCCTCGTGTTGTCACCTGTCACTTCTTCACTGTTTGTGTCCTTTGAGGATGTCGCACGAGTGCACATCTGACACGTTCATGCACACACGGATGCTGTTAATTCCTTCAAGGCTACTTCTATTTATATTATTTTATACGTAAGAATTAAGTTTGCACGTTACTTAGAGGATTTTACAACTTCATCTGTTGCATTAATAACAGATTCACTCAGAAAAGGACAATAACGTTTGTTTTCATAGAATCTCTATTAAGAAATCACAATATATGCAGCCATAGTTACCACTCAGTATACATGTGGTGTGTGTGTGTGTGTGTGTGTGTGTGTGTGTGTGTGTGTGTGTGTGTGGCTGCTCATACTGATCCAGGTTCTGTAGTCGGTTTGTTCTTGTTAAAAGGGAGTTTTCCTCTCCACTATCGCTACATGCTTGGTTAGTATGGAGAATGCTGGAGCCTCTGACACAAGTCGGTGACTCGATGCAATCAACTGGGTTCCTTGAATAGGAAGTTTTTTACTGATTGTCTCAATGAACTGAACTCAGTTGTAATGTTTACTTTGTGACAACTCTTATTGTGTTTTGGTGATATATAAATAAACCATATTTAATTTTCTTTGCATTTTTATTTTATCACTTAAGATCCATTCTACACTTGTCTGTTTTCACTGGAATGATTAAATAATTAAATTATTAACTCGTCTGAATGTTTGGGTCTCTGCTGCAATTTTTTGTAAAACCCTTATTTAAAAAGATTCAACCTGTGTGTGTGTGTGTGTGTGTGTTTGTCTCCATCCTGTCAAGCTGTTCCAGCACCAAATAGACCTCCACCCAACGATTTCAAATGAATCATTTTCATCCTAAGATGTTTTTATTTATGTAATTTAAGTGATCAAAGCTCATTTTCACTGCAGATTTTTCTTTCAAAACACATTATTATACATGAAATTACAGCAAAAGTCTAAAATGTGTATTTACACCAGAACAATTAGTATTATGTGTGATCATGATGTCTAACTTTACATCCAAACATCCTGATTACTTTTGGAGTTTTTTCAGGTTATTTAATGTTTTTATGCTTCAATAGGAAATATGGACTACACTGTAGTATATCAAGCTTATCAAGTGGTGCCAATCAAAGGGTTAATTATTTTTGGCTGAATAGAATATTTATAAAAACAGGAAAAATTAAACTCATTGCATTTCAATAGTTTAAATGATAATAGCTATTAATCCTGAGATTGTTTGGGTGAGAAAACAAATCCGAGAAAGCGTTAGAAATTATTTCTGGTCTCTTCAGATCCACGCTAGACTCAGATTATACTGCTGAGCAATAATCTGCCAGTTCAGATTTAGGACATAGATAACCATAGCAGAATGTAGCCACCTATAACAGATTATTATAATTAAACTTGTTTTATTTATGAGTGCAACCTTCTACGTGCATGTAAAAATATTAAAAAGTTAAAGTTGCTTAAAGTTATTTTGTAAATGTAATGAGGGAATTCCATCACAAAATAGCAGCGACGAGTCCGTCTGGATCATCTTACCGGTGTCTCCGTGGTTCTGGACTATGGAGTGTTTGAAGATGACAATAACAAAGACACAATCCAGTTTACAGATGATGAGTTCGAAGAAGTTAAATCCAGTCGTAAACAAAAGTACTTCCAGAGCAGGAGAAAATGGAGCTGTCGTCCGAATCGTTTATTCTCCAGAGAAATTTCAACACAGAGTCTCTCTCTCACACACACGCACACACACACGCACACACACACACACACACACACACACACACACACACACACACACACACACACACACACACACACACACACACACACACACACACACACACACACACACACACACACACACACACACACACACACACACACACACACCAGCCACTCATCCCTCATCTGCTTCTGAATCTGAGAGCTAAACCTTCAGCCACTGCTCTCCTCCTCTTGCCCCCTCCTCCTCCTCACACACACACACACACACACACACACACACACACACACACACACACACACACACACACACTTAAAGGTAGAGTCTACAGTGGCGTTTTACTCTCCCCTCTCTGTCCTCACCGTTTGCCTTCCGACGTGCGCGCCTCCTTTCCTCGTCTCCCTCATCGCCGCTCCGAACATCTGCTGTGTTTCAGCTGTTCCATCACAACTCTCGCTGTCGGCTCTCGCAGAGATTTTTTTGTGTGACTTCCTCCTTAACTCACGGGCTTCTTGTCCTCAAAGAATAATTTTCTTTTATGTTGGGACTTTTTTAAACAGCAGAAGAAAGGAAATCCAGCCAGAATTTCTATACGAGGCGATGTTTTACAGCATAAATGAGAAAAAAACACCCACCCTTTCATGGGGCATTTGTCCAGCCATGTCACCGATGGCCTTTGGCAGTGTGGCCTTTGCAGCTTCGATGTTGATGGTCATGATGGTCACATCCATCCTCTTTGTTGCCTCCAGGCAACAGAGGCAGCGTTCATGTGAGCTATTGTATTCAAATCTGACCGGAAACGACAGATTAAATCACACATTTCAGTTTTCATTGTAACTGTGACCCTGGGACTGAATGTAAAACGTAAAGGGAGGCCTACACTCAAACGCATCAAAGCTAACGAACAAAGGATGCTGCCAGAGCAAAGGAATATACAGCCATGCACATGCTCAGCCACATTATGTAACTTCATCCTCAAGGCTTTTTGTAAACCTGCCAAATAAATAACTATAGAACATGTCCCATTTTGGAGAAAGAGTCACACGCGTCTGATTCGGTTCTCCAGGATGTGACCTGGCTGCTGGACCGCTGCAGAGGGTCAGGCTTAGCTGGCTGTGAAACACAATTTTAGATGAAAATAGATCAAATTTGTCTGCATTCATTATTTTTAAACATCTATTTGTTGCTTGTTTGTAATTGCCCACACGATGGTGCAGCTGGCAGCACTGTTGCCTCACAGCGAGAAGGTTGTGGGGTCCAGTACCAGGTGTGGCTTTTCTATGTGGAGTTAGCATATGCTTTCATGCATGTGTAAGTTTTCTCCAGGTCCTTGATACTGAGTTCTGTTTCTGACAAGCCATCATGCATAGGTGGGCCCCAAGGCACTCGAGGAGTACAGACGCGTCTCTCTCTTTCGCTCCCTTATCTTTTTTTCACAAGGCTCTTTGTCCTGTCTGCCCACAGAGCGCTTCTCTGCATTTCTTCTGAAAAACTCTATTTTTACTAACCATGGATTTGATAAACTGGTCGTTCAACTCGATCAGTAAGATTTTTTCAACAATGAGAACGGAGCAGGGGGCTCCCACATGTCCACGGGGGACACGCCCGGTGGGGCATATTTTGGATTCCTGGAATGAGTGGAAGATCATATGCCTCAGCCAGCTGTCCATTGAGGGCATCGAAGACGTGTGGATATTCGGCCTGATGATCATTGGATTTCTCCTGATTGGAGTGGGAGGATATCTGGTTTTCTGGAAATTTGGGAAGACGGAGCGATTGGAGGGCGACCCGCACCCACGGAAAGCACCGTCCGTGTGGAGACCTCACAGACTGGGATGTTACTCGAGGTGAATCGTAAGCTGGACAATGTTCTAGCTGCGATACCGGTATTAGTGCACAAAATGGATGTCATCTCAGGGAGGGTTACCGGACGGTAGGGCTGCTCAATTAATCGAATTTTAATCACGATTACGATCTGAGTTTTGAACGATTATAAAAAACAAAACAAGCCGATTATTTGCTCCTCCCGCCTGCGCTGCCCCGAGTTGCAAATGAAGCGCTCCTCCCACAGTGTTGCCAATTTAGCGACTTTGACGCTATTTCTAGCAGCTTTTCAGACCCCCTTCTTGACTTTTTAACTTAAAAGTATCTAGTGAACACCTCAGAAACATCTCTGGTAACCCTTAGCTACTTTCTGGATAACTATCGTCGACGTTTCCTGCAGGTTAGCTAAACACCGCCTGCTCTCCGGACCGTTCTTCAGGACATTAGGAAAGGGAATGATGTAGCGATGTCGGTCGCTAAAAAAACAGCTCTCGGAGCCGGCTCCTTGTTGGAGCAACCAGAGTGAGTGACACACACACCGCACCTGCGGACTCCTGAGCCACTAAAAACGGCTAAATGTGCGCGTGCGGCGCGCTAAACACACGTGCAGCTTGCCCCGATTGCTGTGAGACCGGGTTGGGGGTGGGGGGTGCAGCTGTGGTTGGGACAATTATTACATTAACTGATGGACTTGTAAATAAATAGTTTATAAATAAGGTAGAAATAAGTTCCTCACGCTGATAAATAATAACTAATCTCTCTGAGGATACGGTGCTAGTGCACTCTCCTACAGCACCTTGACACGACTAAATACGTATTATGCAATTTTTTGTGAACATCAATTTATTTGCATGTATTTGTTATGAATGCCACAGTATAATTCTTGCTGTCAGTATTTGCAAGATATTGGTATTTGGGTCTGTACTGGTTAGACTTAAATGAGTTAAACCAAGGTCATAGCCCTTGGGTCATAAAGTATGAGCTATAAGTATATTGGTCTTTTTATACTGGGAATCAGGAGTTATTTTAGTGATCATCTTGTTTCTTATTTTCGTCCTGATTGTGCCCTGAGCAGTTTTATGACTGAATAAAAACAAATAAAATCAACATAAATTGAAAAATCGTCCTAAATAATCGTGATCTCAATTTCAGTCACCATAATCGTGATTATTATTTTTGCCATAATCGAGCAGCCCTACCGGACGGTATGGACAAGTTTAAAAACCCAGAATTGGCTTCACTGAAGGACTGGAATGATCCGTTTAAAGACTGAAGGCAGAGAGGAAAATTATCTCAGCCTGACCCAAACAAAGTCTTGTTATCCGAATCTGACGCCCTGGTAGCCTTGAGCGGCAACAAACCCCCACAAAGGAATGCAGACAGATGCTGTGAAAACCCGACCTACCCCCCACCTTCGGATTGCCTGGTGAGGTCATCAATCTGGAGGAGTCAATGTACTCTTTGCTTCTCCCAAGATCTCCCTCCCACCTGTGACTGTACAGTAGATGAGCGCCATATGGCTGCTCTTGCTGGGGGAAACAGGATCCCAGCCCCCCCATACCCCCCACCCCCACACCCCGCCATTCTACTTGAGTCTCATGTTATTTTGTGTGGTCTTAAGTCAGTTGCATATATGTTTGAGGTGGTTTTTTTTTTTTTTTTTTTTTTTTTGCAGAGCAAAGCTGCCCTCCTGGTGGGAGGGTAACTCTGAAGTGCCTTTTTTCTCCTCCACCTGAACCAATCCTCATATAAACCCTCTGATCTCTATTAAGGTAGCGCGACTCGGGTTGAGAATTACCACAGTCACCAATTCTTGTCATGTGTCTTGCCCATGTATGTCTGATCTCTGAATTGTGTGTACTGAAACTCTAATTTTCCTCTGGGATTAATAAAGTATCTTTGATTGATTGAATGATATGTTTGTGTTAGCCCACAAACATTCAAAACCCTCTGAAAACCCATGTTGGACCCATTAAAATCGATGTGGGCAAAGATGGTGGGCCACCATGGAAACTGCGGACAAACCCTGGTGGGACCCATACAGCTTGCCCATATATGTTCCACATGGGGCCCACCTATGTGTGCTGGCTGGGTTGTGGGGCCACAATGGAAACTGCAGACAAACACTTTTGGCGTGTATGTTTTGCCCATATAAATCCATTTAGGACCCACCTATGCATGCTGGCTGGGATCTGCAGGTTCCTTGATACAGCGTTCCATTTCTCTTTAAATAAATCAACTGAAATCAACATTTTAAATTTCATATTATTGAAAATCACAGTCAGTTTGAATAAGATTAATTTTGCAACTTTTTGCTGAACAAATAAAGTTAAACTGAATCTTCTCGTCATCACCATCGACATATACACTGGACAATGCGTTTCCATAGGCTCCAATTCTAAGTTTTTGTGCCAAAATGGGAGGATCCCACCACCGCCATTTTGACCGTGTCACAGGTTCCGTCAAGCCCAGACAATTCCAAAAGAGGGAAAAGAGGTGGAGCTGAGAGTGGGGCTGTAAGGCTAGGATCAAATGACGACACTCGTCGAATGGAAGCGATGTAGCTACAAGCTAACCCAAAGCTAATGCGGAGGTGGGAGCTAAGCTAACGGAGGTAGCTACGTAGCTACAACTGGAGTTAACTGTGCACAACACCAAAGCTTCTGAGTGACAGATACGCCGGGCTGACCGCTGGGTAAAACCGGGTGGAACGAGGAGGTCTCCCGAGAGCTCCACAAGCCGGCGCCACTGCGATCAGAAATGCGCCGAGCTGCGGGGAGGGGACCATACCGATAGTCGGAACCCAGCTCCACCAACATGTTATATTTCAACCCATTTTCTAAAGTGCAGCATTATGTTAAATGCACTGGGTTTTACCCTATTACATTTAAATTTCATGGTTAAACAGTACATGTTAAAATCTAAGCTCAGCTCGGCAGTGACCTAAAATACATAAATATAATTTTACTTACTGAAAAAAATGAAGTGGAGGCTCCTTGGATGCTCTATTAGTGCAATTAATGCCACAGCAAGTCGTTTTGTCCAACAATTGCACAAAAATATCCAAAAAAGAATACACAAACGGCACAACTAATGGTCTAAGTTGAGAGACAGAAAATCGCGGAGCAGTTTTAAAGCGAGGCCGAGGCTCAGGCTGAGGCCTTTTGCCGAAGCTAGCTCTGCGGTCACGTGGGTCTGATGCTCATTAATTATACAGAATTTTAGGCATTTAACACACTTAAACAGAAGAGCGACAAAAGAAGTCACCCCCCTCAGAGTTGTCATGAGTGTAAACTAGATATCTCCATCCATCCATCCATTTTCTGAACCCGCTTGTCCACGCAGGGTCGCGGGTGGGGAGTGGATGGGTGGGGGGGGGGGGGGGGGGGGGGGGGGGGCTGGTGCCTATCTCCAGCGGTCAACGGGCAATTATGCGGGGTACACCCTGGACAAAGAGCCAGTCCATCACAGGGCAACTAAACTAGATCTATTAAACCTAAGACATGTTTTGGTACCAGGCTGTATACATGTTCATTTCTGCTGTGAAATTAATATTTTTAACATGGGAGTCAACGAGGATTTGATCGCTTCAGACACCGGCCCCCCAGTGGATGAGGGTGGAACTACAATTTCTGTTACTTCCTGTTTTGCTTAATTTCCAGACCCGAATTATGGGGGCTTGGTCATCACGTTGAACTTTTGCAGGCCTTTAGTGACTTAAAAAAATACTCAGGAGAGCATCACTGGACTTTCCTAGATTTTTATCTGGTTTTGCTGCTAGTCAGAAAAATAAATATGTTCTGAGTTTTTTTTTCCTTCACAGAAAAACCTAATGAGGACACATTTGCCTTGTTTTCAGAAATAACAAAGTAAAAGCCACAAAGAGCAGCAGCTCGTCACACGTAACAGGATTAGAGTCGGTCAGCGGCGCTCACCTCACTAAACTCTGACGCAAACGCTGCTATAATTCATGTTAAATCCAGCGTGAGTCAAACAGTAAAAGACAAAGAAGCTAAAAATAAAAACGGACTCAACACTTATTTCAGCCTTTCCTGTTTTCTTTGTAAACTAATATTTGTTTTTCACCTGAAAACATTTTGTTCCAATAACCACAAACGTGTCTTTTTTATACAGACGTTTCCCAAATACTGTTTGGACAGATTATGCAATTCCTCTCGCTTTTCCCGACCTTCTGAGGATCAAGGTGGAGAAATTCCCAGATCAGAGACTTTATAACACCAGAAGAGGACAGATCCCTACAGCGGAACATGGACGCTACCAACAGAGGGTAAGCTAATTTGAAAACTAATTCTTGTATGGAATAACCTTAGTCCTCACTAATGTTTGTGGTCGGAGCTAAATCATGAAACGATCCTTGGAATGTGATCTTTGATATATTTAGGTCAGATCTAAAGCTCTTCTGATAAATTCATTTAGGTTTTACCAAAATAATTCTGCTGTTTTTAGGACAAAATTGTTTCATTGATTTTTAATTATCTTATTTTGGTTTTCCAAACGCCAACATGTATTAATTTAAATACTTTGACTGATGCAGATGACTAAAGAAAGTTCTCACTTGTTTCTTTTTTGACTCTTTTGAAGTTTTTTCCTGGCCTGTGTCCTCCTGGCTGGTGGTGGGACACACGACGTCCTCTGAATCTGGTAAATTTACCTTTAATGGTGAGGAACACTGAAAAAAATGACAGACATCGTGATGGTTTTTGATGAAAGTGTAGTTTCCATCTTGGCGTGCCCACAGAGCAGCGCGACCATGCTGGCGATATTTTATAATCTTTCCTATAGCTGCAGAGATAACCGAGTCTGGACACAAGTGTGTTTTATGCTGCCGTGCAAAGCTGGCCGTCGTGTCAACAGGTAAATTAGCAGCACACTTTCAGATAAAAGAAGATATTGTTTCCATCCTGCAGCATCACTCACACACAGATCTGAAGTAATCTTTCACATTTGAGATCAAAGGATTCTCTGATCTGTGTTTTTATTTTAATACCCATTGCTCCTGCAAAAATTTAAACTAAACTGGTGATGAAGCCTTGTGCATGAACTGTTTTTCATTCAGCTCTAAAGAAAGAAACAAAATATTTTCTATAGCGCCTCTCAAGATAAAATCATGAGGCGCTAAACAAGAATAAAAAATAAAAAAATGACAAAAATATATGTGATTAAAAAAATGCAGGAAAAGAGAGAGAGGGAAATCAGTGGATTCCAGGAAAGGCGGAAAAGGTAGAAAGAGCAGAACATGGAGAGCGTGGTGATGAAGGTCACACCAAAGCCTGAACAGGTGAGTTTTCAGCTGCTTAGAGGAGAGCACTGAGTCCACTGATCTCAGGCTCAGGGGGAGAGAGGTCCAGAGTCTGGGGGCCACAGCAGCAAATGATTGGATTGGTCTTTAGCCTGGTTCGCCGCACAACCAGTAGGCTTTGGTCACTGGACCTCAGGGACCTGCTGGGGGTGTAGGGACTGAGTAGATCCCCAATGTATGATGGTGTCGAGTCATTTTTTTCCAAAACCCATCAAAACTAACATAAACCATAAAAACGGGACCAAACACACTGGCAGCTTGTTAAGAAGGAACAAACTGATCCATGAGGGAAAGCTTTCTTCGTTTAGAAGCTTAAACATTAAACGAAACTATAACAATGAATAATTCATGCTTTTTCTATTCATGCATCATGTTAACGCGTCAAGCCAAGTGATGCATAATTAAATAGCTTATCAACAATACGTGCTTTGTTGAACTGAGAAGCACTACGAAAACCTTTTAACACTAGAAAGGCCGTAGCAGTCGATCTGACTGTTTGCAATTTGCAGCCTTGCTAGTCTCTGACTTTTCCTAAACCAGGGTACATTTTCATTAAAAACCTATTTCATGTTAATTGTGCAAAAAACGGACAAAATGTGATCTTTTCTGCCTATTTTAGTCCGAAGCAGTCTTTTCTGTTGTCAGGGATTTCCCTGGGTAAGGTAAAACTTTACAGTCAAAGACCCTCTCTCATCAGTCTCTCTCTTCCTTTTGTTTTGTCGTATTAACTTAAATACAAAGGAAGAGAGAAAATGGCCTGGAATAAATATGATGGTAGAAATGATGTTGGACAGACTTTCAGGCAGTGGTCCCCTCACAGCGGAAAGCTTTACCGGCAGACCCTGCACTCTTTTCACTTCTGAGGAGTCTTAAAACACATCTGTTCATTCGGGCTTTTTATTAATTGTATAGATTTTTTATTGATTCTAATTCTATGAAGCTTTTTTAATGCTTTTATGCCTTTTATGATGATTTTATGGAAGCCACTCTTTAGCATCAGCATTGGATTACTTTTTTATATGTATTTTAAAACTTTCATTGACTGTTTATGTATTTGATTTGATCTTTAATGTATTTTTTATAATACTTTTACTATATTTATCTTCAGTGTATGTTATCTTATTTTATACTGGATCGGCAATGTGAGATCACTGGCCAACAAGATGGAGGAACTCCAAGCCCTTTCAAGGACTCAGCCAGAGTTTCGGCAGTTTCGGAACCGCTGGAGGAGATGATGCAAAGAAGGATTCTCCAGAGAATCAAGAAAATGATGGACAACCCTGAGCATTCTCTTCACAAGACTGTCCGACAACGGAAGAGTGTCTTCAGTCAGAGGCTTCTTCAGTTTCGCTGCAACACTGACCGCTACTGGAGATCCTTCCTGCCAACAGCCGTTGTAATATACAACAACTCTTTGATGACTTGATTATTATTATTATTATTCTGAGATACTACAGCAATCAATTTCCCTCTGGGATTAATAAAGTATTTTTGAATTGAATTAAATTGAATGTCTACCTGCGATTTTTGTCTTTACATCAAAACAGATTACTCTGTGCTCGTAGTTTCAGATCTGAAATGCGATTTTGCACCATGTGCCGCTTAGAGGCCACTTTTAGGAATGCAATAAGAAACACAAAAACATATCCAACTCCTGATAGCACTATGTAACACAGGCGTGTTAAAGAAGAACCAAATAATGCAATGAGAAGAAACACAGAATGAACGCACAAAAGATGTTTAAAGACAAACATCTAACTCCTGTTTGGCCAAAAATCAATTAATTAAAAAAAATACTGATGAATGAATTTTTTTTCTATTTTCCAGCTTCTAGACTAGCTTCCTGCGTTCCAGGCGGATGGTTGGCAGGACCCTGGCTCCTCACGTCCCCTGGCAGGCCATGGTCTACCTGTCTGACAGCATTCTGGGTGGCGGCTATGCCAGCGCGCCTCTCTACTCCGATCGCTGGGTGTTGACAGCCAGAAGGAAAGAGTCGCCGGGATATTCAGGGACAAGATCCTGTCATCCCTAAAGTGTACTTAGGAATCACAAGAAAGTTGGAAGCTGTCGCCTCCTATGAAGTCCCCGTGGAGAAGGTGAGTAAAAAACATTACGCATTAAGTACAAGAAGATGAAGCTAAAACTGGGTTTTGTATAATTTTTTGAAGCTGCAGAATAATGCAAAAGTCTTGTTTGAAAGCTTCAGGGTTGTTCAGCTGAATGAGGATCACAAAGCAGACAAAAAGATTTTTATACAAAAACATTTTAGCTATTTCTCTCTTTCATCTTTCTCAAGGTGCTGTGAAACATTACAAACCAACACCTTCAGGCATCTAAAGCTGTGACTTGTTGCTCAATATTTGCAATAAGGCCATGAGCAACAGCAAGGTGCTATTAAGTTTACCACGAAGAAGCAGGTTGTTCTCCATCCTGGTTTCCAGAACTGATTCGACTGGGACAACGACCAGGCTCTGGTCAGATTTTAGAGCCTTTGGTTATGAGCGATAAGGTTACTCCGATCCCACTGCCAGAGAGAGATCAGGGGCCTCATTTATCAAGCTTGCTTACGCACAAAACTGGGTCGGAAAACTGCGTAAGCAACTTTCCACGCAAACTTTGGGATTTATGAAAGAAACTTAGTGGAAAAATGTGCGCAACTTTAAGTTGACTAAGGACCTGGCTTACGCACATGTTGGACATGGAGAGCACCTGCAGTGCTGCTGCTGAGAAGGATACAATTATGAAATCCTGCAGCATTATCACTTGTACTGCTTCATTTTCACACAGAACAAGACCCCCCACACGCACGCGTGTGCACACACACACACACACACAGCCTGAAGCGCAGAATACGGAATGCAGAATATCAGCAGGGGGACAGATTGAGACAGAATGTCATGCGTCTGTGACAGGGTGTGTGTCCTGTCACCATGAGCCGATTGATCATGCGCCCTGGCTACTTGGACAAGGGAGATCTCCGTTTGGCTGACTGGTTAGCGTGCGTGACTTTCACCTGGGAGTCTGGGGATCGAATCCCAATTGGACCATTTTTTTATATCCGCCACAGATCTCTCTGAAGAACTCAGCATTGACGGCTTCAGCAACGCTGTGCCACTCCCTGGATTTTCTCTTATTTGTTTTGCAAAAGCACTTCATTTCATTTCTCCACCTCACCCACAGGTACCTCATCTTCTGCTTCTGTAAAATTGCGCTTCCTTGATCTGCCTTGATCTACGTCGCCATGTCATTGGCGGAGCGCTGCAACAGCCGGCTTATGTATATGCATGAGATCCACAAGGCACTTTGCATTGACCATTTATGGCAGTAAGTGGGCGTGGTGAGGGCGTGATGTGACTAAAAAGCAGCTGAGAAACATTCTCGTTAGTCTCTGATTTATGAAGCGGAGATTGCGTGCAGCTGTGCGTACTCCATGTTTGATAGATCACAAACCTACTTGGCGTAAGTACTTTTTTTTTTGCTTAGCTTAAGTACAGTTTTAGTCAGGATTCTACGCAATGTTTGATAAATGAGACCCCTGGACCTGAAAGGTAATGTGAGAGGGTCAGGAGTTCTCGCTGGATGGGGCTCGGGAATCCTCCTCACCCCCGCTACATCACTCAGATACCTTATTCTCCCCCTGGCCAATCTCTCTGACTGCAGAGCAGAATATGAACACGCTGCACACACACACACCGGCTGTAGATGACAGCATGCTCTGTGCTGAACCCACGAAGCATCAGGAAAACGTTTGTTTTGGAGACGCCAGAGGAGCTGTGGCTGTCACGGATCCTCAAACGGGGGAAGTTTACGCTGCAGGGATCCTTTCGTGTGGCAAATCCTGCTCTAAGTACAACCATGGCGTTTACATGAAGATTTCCACTTATTTGAACATCTTTGGTGTGCTCTTAGTGTGTCTAATTTCTAATTCCATTTTTGGTTCTTTTTAAAACACAGGAAATGTTTCTCTTTACCTTGCTGACGTACGTTTCGTTTGCCGACTGCAAACATCCTCAGAGCTGACGCTGATGGTGGCGTCACTTCCTACTCCGTTTATCTGCGGGCAGCAGAGGACGTTGTCGCCCTCTGCTGCCCGCTCTCCCCTCTCCAACGATGCAGTCCCATGCGCGATCCAACGAGTAGACTCCATCGTCCCTGTTCATGGTCCCACGTCCACATCTCCTTATCTCTATAGCTTCTTTTATCCATCTTTTGTATTTCTGATGTGTGTACCAGATCTAAAGCTGCTGATCCATCAGATCTGACTAACTGTGACTGAACGATGAAGGTCAGCTTGTTTCCTTTGTTTACTTGTGAAGTCTGTACTAGTCAGTGACTCAACCCTCCCACTGTCCTAATGGGTGTGACCCCGCGAGGAAAGTTGACCATTGAGCAGGGTTGATGGTTTATCCCTTGGGTCCATGTGGATGGGGGGGGGGGGGGGGGGGGGGAGTGAGCACCACCTCACCCCTGCCACATGGACCTCATCAACAATGAGCTGTCTCAACCACAAAGGTGAGGACAGTCGCTTGTCGCAAGCTGATCGGAGAAGATGAGAGGGAAGGAAGATCAAAGCGATGGCTGTTATTATTCCTCTGGGTGATTTCTTTTTCTGTGTGAGTGCACTCGGCTCTGGGCACGGAAAAGCAGATGTTATTTATTACTGCCACCTCTAAAGTGTGAGTTGTTTAATCTGATTAGATCTCTGACAACTCAGACGGCTGATGAAACCGCTGCTGGCCTGAACCTAAAATAAATTCTCTAATTACTGATTCTCACTTCAGCTTTCTGAAGACTTTATTATTTAAAACATTAAAACATCTGACAACTTTTGCTTAATAAATAACTGGATGTGTGTATACATCATCTGGTCCATGCATTATTACGTGAAGCACCTTGTAAATGTGCTGATTTGATAATGCTGCTGATGGAATTGGCCTATCATGCTAATTGCGGATATGTTGAGTAATAAAAATGATTAGTAATAATATTTTAATTTAAAACAAGAACTTAACAGGGGCGTGTCCAGGGGGTGGCCTGGGGTAGCACATGCTACCCTTGGAATCTGACTGGCCACCCCACTGAATTTCCTTCAAATAGAATTGTCCACAAAAAGCTTGGGGTAAAAAAGAAAAAGCATAAACATTGCTGCCACCCATGCACAAAGAAGTGCACCACCTGGGCCACCCCATTTTAAAAGATCTGGCTACGCCACTGGAACTTAAGGGTAAGTTAAACCAGTAAAGTTTGCTTTGAAACAAAGGAAGATTTTCTTTTCTAAAGAAAAACATTCCAGACAAACAGCCATGAGGGTTTTCATTTGAGCGTCTCACATGTTTTTGGTCTGATGGTTTCCCCATCTTTAGGCATATGTCAGAATGATGCAACTTCTCAACAAAGTATCTCATAATCCTGGTCAAACGTCAAGAAGGAGAGGACATGCAGAGGTTCTGAGATGGCTCCATCAGGTGCCTGGTGGAGTAAATCCCGAATTGGTTAGTGCAGGGCAGGGGCGTGTCCAGGGAGTGGCCTGGGGTAGCACATGCCACCCTTGGAATCTGATTGGCCACCCCAGGTTCCACCACATTAAATTACCTTTAAATAGGCTTTTCATCGTCCACAAAAGGCTTGGGGGTAAAACAAAAAAAGCATAACCATTGGTGCCACCCATGCACAAAGTTGTGCCTCACCTGGGCCACCCCATTTTAAAAGATCTGGACACACCACTGGTGCAGGGGTAGGAACCCTGGTCCTGGAGAGCCACTATCCAGCATGTTTAGAAGTGATCCTGCTTCAACACACTTGATTTCAATCTGCAGATCCTGACGAGCTGCTGAACAGGTGAATCAGCTGCGTAAAAGCAGAGAAGAAACTAAAACATGCTGGATTGTGGCTCTCCAGGACCAGGGTTCCCCACCCCTGATTTAGTGGGTTGAGTTTTTAGCTGAAGTTTGGTTTCAGCAGATCCAGAGCAGGAGGTTCTCCTCTATTGCCTCTAAAATATTAATTCTGCTGTCAAAGACTGTTACTCTTTACCAGCATCAGAGTGGAGGCTGAGTGGCTCCATCACCACCTTAAAGCAAGAGCTGAGGTCACAACATCAGCAGAGTGGTCCTGCAGTCGGAGCCCAAACTCCTCATAAAGGCTCATAAAGTAAGTGCAACTTCAGATGCCATTTCTTTGTTCAAAGGTGTGGAACGCTGCAAGAAAAACAGTTTTTAAGTATTATTTCTGATTATAATCTGAGGTTTTCACACAGGCTGAACATGAAAATAGTCTCCTACACCTATCTACTGCGTTAGCTTCTGAAACTCAAGGATTAGGAAAGCTGACAGGTCTACGTCACACTGTCACTTAACATTCATGGACTCACCCAACTTGACTCAAGATGGGGAAGGCTGTTGTTTTAGCATCCAGGGAACAGCAGAGAACGTCTCGGCTAATAGAAGCTAACCGTTAGCACCAGCAACTCCATCACACAGCAGAGCTCCTCCGGGCGTGTGCTATTTGTGGAGATAAAACATCAACGTTGCAGAGCGAACAGTCAGTGGTAGAGTCGTGTTGCTGTGAGCCAATCAGAGGAGAGATGTCTGAATGTCAGGAAATAAGACTCCAGATCCTGATGTCTGAAGCTCAACTTAGATCTGGCTCACTTCCATTTCCTGAAACAGGCGAACCGGTGCCATCCCCCACCCCACCCCCGAGTACCATTCCAAATGATGATTGTTTGGGTCAAACGAGTGAACTACTTTTTTAACAGTAAAAAAAAAAAACAAGTGTGTCACAAGACTGGATCCTAGTGAAATAAACATTGCTTCATCAATCTGGACATTTATGATTGTTTCTATACAAGCTGCAGTGAAACCCTACACTCTGAAAACCAACAAGTGGAAAACATTCAAAACAGGCCATTTTTTTTAAGAAAGTTCACTTGATATTTTTTATTTTCATTTTTTTCCCATTTCCCCGACCATTTTCTATCACCGGCTAATGCAGGAAATAGGGGTAGAAGACATTTTTCACAATAGGACCTAGACCATTAAAAAAAAATATCAAGTAACGGTTTCAGACCTCCTATGGTTAGACCATGAGGTCAAACTGTGTTGGAGAAACTGGGAGCTAGAAATTCCTCTTGAGGTTGAGGAGTTAAAAGGGCGGTGGTCCAGTTGGAGCTGCAGTCCAGAAGGGTCTCCCAGGAGATGGAGCCCACAAACAGCCGATCCCAAAGTCCAACCTCCACGGAGAAGAGGGAGGAGAAAGAACCGGGACCATGAGAGTCAGCTGCTAGGAACAGTGGTGGATTTATGGTGCTTTTAAATAAAATGTTTTTGACAACATAATTTATAATGATTTGTATTCTTTAACATACATCATGGGAATAAATGACTTACCCATCACAGCTCAACAGTTTGTTGGGAGATTAAATATTCTGACCTGCTGATGGGTTTATAATCTGATAAGTTTCAGTGCTTAGATCAGAGAATAATGTTTTAAATGTTTCATTATTTTTAAGGTTTTTTTTATCAAACTGCTCAAAAAGATCTAAAATTTTCATATAAAAATCTGAAAATAAAAGTCCTAAAAAGTTTTGATCTACGACGGTGGCACAGGAGTTAAGTGCTTGCCCCGTAATCGGAAGGTTGCAGGTTCGAGCCCCCGCTCAGTCTGTCGCTGTCGTTGTGTCCTTGGGCAAGACACTTAACCCACCTTGCCTGCTGGTGGTGATCGGAGGGACTGGTGGCGCCAGTGCTCGGCAGCCTCACCTCTGTCAGTGCACCCCCAGGGCAGCTGTGGCTACATCGTAGGCCATCAGTGTGTGAATGTGTGTGAATGGGTGAATGACTGATTGTGTTGTAAAGCGCCTTGGGGGGTTCCAGGACTCTAGAAGGCGCTATATCAAATACAGGCCATTTACCATTTACATCAGACTGCTAGAGAACAGGGTGGGGTAGAATTAGATGATGACTCACTTTAAACATGTCTGATTTATAAAATATTATAAATGAGTCTGAGACCATCGCAGCCCAGAAACCTCCAACACCAACCAGGCTTTCATTTCTGCCTGATATTTAGATTTGTTTTAAGCTGAACAGGCAGCAAGGAGAAACTTCAAACCAAAGTTATAGAAAAGCCTGTATGCAGTTTTAAAATGCATCATGTATCGTCAGGAGGCGGATTTAGCAATTTGGGGTCCCAAGGCGAACACGGACATGGGGCCCCTTACACTAAATTTTCGACAGTCTTATCTTTAACTGGATTTGCGAAACTCTACCCTCTTCTGACATGAGTTACTTTCCTTTTTTATTAGTCCTCCTCTTTTTTCCTGTCTCTCTCTCCCTTTGAGTGCTTTCAATATTTGCTCTGCTTTCTTTTTCCTGTCAGTGCTCCTGTGCGTCTGCCTTTCTTTTTTTTTCTTCTATTTTCCATTTTGGTCTCTGTTTTCCTCCCTTTAAACATTTTCCATAGTATTTCCTTTCTGCTTCCTTTTGATGTTTACATAGAAGAACGACGTCACTTTTAGAAGTGAAAATAAAAGCTTGTTTTAAAGCGAGCTGCTTCTTTCTCTTATTGGAGCCACTAGGATAACTCCATTTCATGCTTCATGTTTTGGCTACTGCTTCGAGTCTGACGAACGCTCCCGCCTCTCTTCTTCTTTTTCTGTTTTCTCTTCTTCTTCTTCTTATTTGTGGTCTTATGGCACTTGGCAAACAACAATTTGGTGCATTACTGCCACCAACTGGATTGGACTGGAATGACTACCAATCACTTCCTGTTTGTGCATCGGACTTCTTAAAGAAATAGTTCATTGTGGCATTAACAGAGGGGTGCCAGCAGCCAGGGCTAAGGGGCCCCCCAACATAAGGGGGCCCCAGGCGGCCGCCGACCTATGCCTAATGGTAAAACCGCCACTGTGTATCGTACACGTGTGTGCTGGCTGACTCCTCCCTTCTCCTGGGACTTCTTTTGATGATATAGATCTTCGTCTCCCCTCTCCCTGCCACACCTGGTGTGGGCTGTGGTGCCTTGGTCTGCCTGGGTCGTGGCTCCCGGGTCAGGGAGTTACAGATTTTTGGCATCTGCCTGACCAATCCCGGTGGCTGCCTGGTGGGGTCTGGGTCCCTGGGCTCTGCTGGGTTCCCGGCGGGGGTGGTTGCCCCTGGTGCCCATGTCATTGGGTCCCTGGCTCGGCCGGCTAGGGGGTGGGAGGCTGCAGGCGGGCCTGTGGGCTTGCCGCCGATATCTCCCGGGACTCTGCCGGCTGCTGGTTGTGGTCCCCCAGGGCGATCCTCTGCGCCACTCGAGGGGGGCGGGGGCTTTTCTGGTCGCAGTCTCCCTGGAGTTCCTGTGCTCTGGGGCAGCTCCTGGATCTCTGGGACTTGGAGCTCCCTCCGTCTCCTGCACATCTTTAGGGGGCAGATCTGTGGCCCCTCACACTCTCTATTGGACGCTTCTATAGAGAAACCTTACATAAACAAGCGCGTGTACACACAGGTGCTCACATGGTGCTCTCATAAGTATGGTCTTGGGCACGTTCAACACATTTCTTAAGGCTATGGTGGGCACTTAATCTGCACCTGTTACCTGTTCTCTCAGTTTCTGACACAGTAAAAATAAGAGCGATGAAGCTGACTGGCAACCATGCAAATGCCAAGATCGTCTCACCCCGCCTAATCCAGGACACATGCAGCGACTCTCCTCAGAACTCTTGATTCAAGCTGCTTTATGTGACCCTTCATAACTCTAGCAAGATGCATTCAACATAGTTTCTATGCTGTTATTCTGACGTCGTAAAAGAAGGAAATAGTGAGAAATGTTTGGAACAATGTCTTCTTCTGCAGGATCTTTTCGTATGTTATCATGCTGCCATAAAACATCAGCCGGGATAAGGTCAGCATGCTTTCAGCAGCACTTCTGCAGAGATGCACGCCTTCTCCTCCCTCTTCCATTCTACCAGAACAAAAAGGACTGATGCACCTAATGCTTGTCCTCATATCAAAGGATAGTCTCTCTGCGTCTGAGCTTCACTCTTTTGTTTTTATGATTTTAATCAAGCCTAAATGTCATTTTTGATCAAACCCCAGAGGGAGAGCTAATTAGAAACTCGTCATTGCATGCAGAATTTGAAACAGCTGCTCAGTGGTGGTTCACACCTCAGCTGAGTAGATGTTATTTAAAGTTTGCATGTTATTTTCTCTAGATCCATCTGCTGCTGACTTCAGGAGTGAGCATGCATGTTGGCCATGAGATAAACATGGATCTATTGTTCTGCTGTGAAACCATTTTTCACAAAGGATAAATATTTCTAAGAGTCAATGTTCCAGAAGTTTCACCTGGAGGTCAAAAGCTTAGAAGAATTACAGAAAAAAAAAACTGGATCTCAAAAAGCTTCAGTTCATAGTAGCACTCTGTGGACCACTGAAGTGGTTTCTCAGAGGGTTTCTAGGAACAAGACTCTTCCTGTAAAGGTCGCAGCATGTTGGTTGGCGACAGATGGGACCAAAGTGGAGATGTCCGCTCATAACTCCCAGCTGCCCTTCAGCCTCCTTCCCCTCAGCTGAATCTGAGAGGCCTGAAAAGTGTGAAGATGTTCCTCACACCAGAAAGGGTGTGTGTTTTATTAGAACCTGAGTCAGCTGAGCGCTGGGAGACTGTCAGCTTGATAAACCAGGACACAATCATCAACAGTCTAGTTACAGAAGGGCTTTGGGTTGAGAGACTGTTGTTTTTATAAAAACAATAAGACAGCTTCCATCTGAATTTCTGGATGAGAGTTTGAGGATGAATCAGTTCCTATTTTAAACAATCTGACACTAATTAACCCTTTTAGTTCCCCATATATTGTCAGGTGTATGATCATAACCAGAAATGTAAACAAATTAAAAATATAAACATTTTTTGTGTGTTATGGCCAGATGATTTGTTTAGTGGGTGAATTTTCAACACATTGGAGTGTCATGAATGGGCATAAAGATATTTTCATTCAATTTTATTTTTATTTGATTGCAGCATTCGTTAGTTTGGTGCCCCAGTGAAAGGAAAAAGTGCAATCTGGTGGAAAACGTTAAAAACTTATAATTGAATATGCAACTGGCCTTGGATCCCAGACAGAATAACAGGGTTCCCACGCGTCCTGGAAAACCTGGAAAACCTG